GGAGTGAGAGCCTCACGCGGGGCAGGCAGGTGCCAGGCAGCAGGACCCCGGGTGGGAGGCACAGAGCACCGAGGACGGAGCCACAGAGACACCACACCCGCAGGCGGCGTCCAGCCCTGGGCGTCTCATTGTCCGAGCAACAGGGTCTGAAACATGCACTGTTTCAAGCACATGAGCATCCATCTCCACCCCCACACCAGGCCTGTGAGCATGGGGAGCCCCCCAGGTGGGCGGTCCCTTCTCAGTCTCACAAGGCGGGGGCGGGGCAGGCACTCAGACCTCAGGTTCCGCCCCACGGACAGGCCTTAGACTACAAGTTGCTCCTTCTCTTCAGCAGCTTCCTGGGGTCCTCCCCGGCACCAGCGTCGCCCTCCTGCTGGCTGGGCCTTGGGCTGCGTGAAGCATGGAAGAGAGGCTGCGTCAGAGCTGATGTGCGTCTGGCCAGGCCGACGCACACAGTAGGTGGTCCACGAGCATCCGGGCACTAAGCCGGGGACGCTGTGTACCTGAGCGATCCTGAGGGGTGCTCCCCGGAGGCAGGCTCTTCGTTGCTGGGCCCCCCCAGATCCCCTCGGTCCCGGAGCGCCGGCTTCTTCCGTTTGGTCCTTAGGGGCTTCTCTGTGAAGACACAGGACCCGGGCGGGGCTGTGACCCAGGCAGGGTGTGACCTGGGCACATGCAGCCTCGGCCTCGCTCCCGCCAGCCTGATCTGAGTCTCTCGGGGCCAGGATGCACTCGGGACTCAGTGTCTCACACCCGCTTACCGGGTAAGGGAACGGGCTAGGTGCCCCCCCGAGCCGCACAGCCCGCCGTGGCAGAGTTGGAATTTGAACTCGGGGCCACCAGGCTCCCTCTGTTTCTCCAGCTGCCGGCTGGTGGGAAGGCCCCGAAGCAGCAGGACCCCGAGCACACAGCCCAGGACCCAGACGGTGTTTTAAGAAGCCGTGTCTGTCCACACGCCTTCCCCGCACTCTCCTGTTAGCGGGCTGCCACTGCCGGTGACCCTACTGACTTGTCTCCAGCAGGGGGAGGAGTTAATCATCCCCATTTTACAGATGGGGAAACCGAGTCAGAGCTCGGATGCAGCTGGTGAGCAGCGGGCCCCGGAAGGGGAATCACTGATCCATGGAGAGCAAGGGGGCCCCCCGGGTGTCCTCACGGAGGCTGCTCATGTACAGATATGACACGAAGGCCCAGAGAGGGCGCGTACGGTTCCCAAGGCCACACAGCCAGGTGTGGGAGACATGCGACTGGACCCCTCTTCCCAGCCTCGCCCACTCCTCACCTGGCAGGCCCCGCTTACTCGAAGACGGTTTGCTTTCGGCAAGGGGCACCCGGGCCAAGGCCGCCAGCTCCGCGATGAAGCTCTGCTCAGCTTCCTGAATGCAAGGCGAGAGGATCAGCAGGGCCTCCTCCCAACCCCTCCGCCAGGAGGGGCTGACTCGGGCCCGTGGGGAGGATCTCCTCCCGGAAGCACCGGGGAGGCCAGGAGCAGGGCAGAGGCACCTGGGGGAGGGAACTGACATGAGCCAGCTCCTGCAGGTGGCCGTCCCTCCTCACTCACACCAGCCACGCGCCCCCATTCTACAGGTGGGAACACTGAGGTGAGGGGCGCTCAGGGGGGGCCACGGAGGCGGCAGCGGCTGGTGCAGGATCTCGCCCGCTTCTGCCTGACTCCAGTCTGTTTGTGACGTCAGCCTGTGGTTTAACCACACAGCCCTGGGCTCCACGACTTCCTGGCTGTTCGACCCTGGCCGTGACTCAACCTCTGGGAGCCTCAGTTTCCCCATCTGTAGCTGGGATCCCTCAGGAACCTCCTCCTCAGCTGGAGGCCGCCATCAAGTGGCACAGGTGGCCCAGCCAAGGACACCGCCACTCACCCTCCGTTACTGAGCGCCCTCTCCATCCTCATCGCTGCCACCGCCATCACTGCCGCTCCGGTGGCCTGTGCTCTGCCGGCCCAACGCTCACAACTGCCTCCAATATTCGACTTCCTTTAAAGCAGCGGTTCTCAACCTTCCTAACGCCGCGACCCTTTAATGCAGTTCCTCATGTGGTGGTGACCCCCAATCTCATTGTTACACATTGAACATCATTAAAACATAGTGATTAATCACAAAAACAGTATGTAATCATATCTGTGTTTTCTGATGGTCTTAGGCGACCCCTGTGAAAGGGTCGCTCGACCCCCAGAGGGGTCGAGACCCACAGGTTGAGAACCGCTGCTTTAAAGGCAGCCGATTCACTTTCACAATCACAGGCCAATGAGGTTTTTCTGTGCTGAGACGCCCCTGTTCCAGCACAAGCGCTGAGCTTCCGGGATGTTCTACCTCAAGGACAAGCTTCATTCCCCAGCAACGCTGCCTAAAGGACCGATCAGCCGACAGGAGCAGCCCACGTGCTGGCCGACCCCCCAGGGAGACGCTCCCTGCCCAGGACCGGCCTGGTAAGCGGGCGCTGCACTCACAGAGGCTCCGCGAGGCTGGCAGCGCCAGTCCTTGCTGTGGCCACCCCGCTAAGCCCTGCTCGCACTGCCCAGGCTTGCTTCCAAACCTGTACCTGCAGCTGCGTCTCCAGCTGGGCTTCCAGGAGGTCCAGGCCCCGCGCCCTCTGCTGCCACGTGTCCAGGCGGGTGCGCTGGTGGGCCGTGAACTGGGCCAGGAACCGTTTCTGCTGCGCCCGCATCCTGGCAGAGGGAGCGGCCGTCAGCGCTGCCCGGCGCCAGGAGCATCAGGCCCAGCGCCAACCTGTCCGGGGCCCAGCGCCAACCTCCCGGGGCCCGCTGCGTCCTGCAGGCCCGTGACCCACGGCTGCGAGAGGAGAACGGCCACGATCTGCGGCCACACGGGAGCCCCTCGCCCACAGGCTGGCTCACCAGGGCAGCGATTCACTCTGGGGGTTACGGAATCTGAGTGGCTTGGTGACATCAGCCGGACAGAGATCAGAAAAGTTGGGGACAGGAGAAGCCCAGAAGGGCAGGGTGTCCCTGGGGTCCTGCAGCTGCGAAGTAGCTGAGCAGCAGGTGACGTTTCCGTGTGATCTTAGCCCAGGTGGGGGCGCGCTCCTTGTTAAGGCTGCAGGATCGCCCTGGCCCCGCCCCCCACCCCCTCCTTTCAGGCGCTGAGACCTCCCCGGCTGTGTGAACTCCCTCCCTTCCTTGGCCCACGGTCCTCTGGCCCCTGCAATCCCATCACCCGCTTCCAGGCTTACTCTGCCCCCTTCTCTGTCCTTTGTGTCTGATTTGCTGAATTTCTAGACTTAAAGGCAGAAGCCGCCTTCTGCATCGCAGGCAGCGGCCCAGGAAGTGCACTGAGGCACAAAATGCCACCTGGCTTTTGCTTCATGCTCTTTTCTTTCTACTTGCCTGGCAAACTCCTATTCATCCTACAAGACCCCGTCATCCGTTCACCCATCCTGCATGGACCCACCCATTCACTCCTTTGTTCCTTCATAAAAGCATCTTCTGTGCTGGGTTTTGAAGATGCAGGTGTGAGTGAGACTCACAGCCCCTGCCTTCCCGGAGCCCTACCTCGAGCTGGAGAGCGAGGGATCGCTATGGAACACCTGGCTGTGATACCCAAAGGTCAGTGCTCTGGCCTCTGTTGCCCTGGAAACCCTCCTTATCGCAGGTGGTGCTGGCTGTGCTCCCATGGGGGTCGGTCACACAGCGTCCCCACAGGGGTCCACGCCACAATCCCTGGAACCCGTGAAGGTTATGCCACGTAGGGTTGGCGGTGCTGATGAGGGCATGACTGTGGGGTTCAGAGAGGACCTGGGTTACAGGTGCCCCAATCAGCGGGGCCCTTAAAGCAGAGGTCTCTCCAGCTGGAGCCAGAGACCAGGGGGAGGAAGGCAGGGAGTCCCAGGTGTGGCCGGGACCTGCTGCCCGGATGTGGGGGCCACATGCAGGGAGCAGAGAGAGGCCGCTAGGTGGTCAGGGGACCCCCACTCACAGCCACAAGGAAACAGGACCTCGTTCTAGCAAGGCAGGGCCGCTGCCTGGAGCGCCCACCCAGAGCCCACCATCAGGGCCCGGCCTGCCCTCACCTGATGTGGCCATGTGGGTCTCGGGGAAGTAGCAGCAGCGCCCAGGCGCCTGACCCGCGGAACCGTGAGTCATCGGCTACCTGCGGGGTCTGTGCGGGCCCCTGTGAGGCAGCAGCAGAGACCCCGGCTGCCTGGCTTCCTGGGGGCACTGCCCACAAACCCACCTCCCAATCCTCAAGCCCCAGCCGGCTTCTGGAGGACCCCAAGGTATGAGGGAGAAGGAGGGGTGCTGTGTCAGGGCTGTGGGCGCCACCTAGAACTAGGAACGCAGCCAGGGCCACACTGACGGCGCGTGCCCTGTGCCAGGCCCTGGCCGGGCCCCCGTAGACAGGAGATGCCTGCAGGCCACAGAGAGAAGCAGGACATGCGGACTGAGCGTGCCCGAAGCGGGCCTCACCTCTGGTGGACGCCTTGGGGCGCTTCATGAGTTCCACCCGCCTCCTTGCCCTCCGGAGGGTCGCCGAGCCCCTGCTTTTTCCGCAGCTTGTAACTGTCCCTTCTCTCACCTAGAACGGTAACACACAGCGATCACGGACACGTTGGAG